TTAATTTCGATAAAATGAAAATATCTATATTTAAAAATCAATCTTTGCAATATTATTTTTTTAAATATAATTGCATCTAAATTTTTTGAAGACTGGAAGATTGTAATTAGTAACTTTTCTACACGACATAGCGCGCACTATTCAATGAATGAATTCATTCGAATGATTTGATTCGATAGTTGCAATCATTCATTTAGTAATTATTCGATAGTCCAAATCATTCGATAGTGCCCATCACTAATGAAAACGGTTTTTTGTGATTTGCGGCGAAACTTGAACTCCTAGCGGAAAACGTTCAATGGAAAAGTTGTAGATAATAACAAGATCTAAAACTTTTAAAAATAACCCTCAAAATGGCAAAAATCCGACTTTTCCGTGGTATTTATTTTTTTTTCTCGCACATGATTAAGTTGATAATTTCAAACATAATAATTATTTATGTGAAGGAATGAAATTTAAACCAGTCTGAATAAGCCATTAAGCTGCTGGTATTGATTAGGAAATGCCTGAAATTTGACTGATTATAAACAAAATGTTGAAATTGCATTGGCATATTAAATACTGCTAATTCGTTTTCTACTATTAAATCCGCTAAAAGCTAATTCAGAGAAGTGTCTGATGAATATCTCGCGCCCAAAAATCGGATCACTTATCCATTACATAAGAGCCGTTGTTGCCTATTGATGATATCACTGCTCAACCGGTCAAATGTGAGCTTTCTCCTTGATTAATTCGAATGAAAAGTCGAATTTTTGCCCTTACCAGCAGATGGGACTTTCCGCCCAAAACCATTGTGGCAAATTCAAATTACACTTCGGCTGTACATGCATACATTAGCATTAAAATGCGCGTCCACTTGTCCGCACCTAACAATCGAAACGCGTTTTGTCTCATGAAGGCGCGTTACGCAACTCTGCACCGATTTTTGATTGCCCACGGGTGCTTCTAGGCTGGTTTGTCTGGTCCAGATTTGCACACAATTGCCCCACTTTTTTCGGCTATATAAAGATCAATCACGGTCAGGATCAACAATTACAGTCGAAGACCCATCCAAACCTACCACATCTCATCTACCATGGCTTTCAAGGTACGTACCTACATAAGAGTTCTTTTCACATAATTCGCTCGAGACAAGTTCTGACCGGTTTGATTGTAGTTTGTTGTATTTGCCACCCTTCTGGCTCATGCGCTCGCTGGGGTCATCCCCGGGGCTCCGCTGGCTTACGCCGCTGGCCCAGTTTACTCGGCCCCAATTGCTAAAGCAGTTGTTGCCGCCCCAGCTGAAGATTACGACCCAAACCCCCAATACAGCTACGGCTACGACATCCAAGACGGCTTGACTGGTGACAGCAAGAGCCACAGCGAGACCAGAAGTGGGGATGTCGTGCAGGGCAGCTACTCTCTTGTGGACCCTGATGGTAACTCAAATTTCTGAACGCATAAGGGAAAAAACGCTAACCAGCGAATTACAGGTCTCAGGAGAACTGTGGAATACACTGCTGATCCAGTGCACGGATTCAACGCAGTGGTGCGCAGAGAGCCATTAGCTGTCAAGGCCGCCCCAGCTATTGCCAAGGTGGCTGCGCCAGTCGCCTACGCCGCTCCTGCTCACTACGCTCAACCTGCGCCGTTGGCTTACGCAGCTGGACCAACCAGAGTAGCATACGCACAACCTGCCATCGCCTACCACCACTAAGATATCCTAGCAGTATTGTATATAGTTATTATTTATTTGGACCTAACGAAATAGAGTCGATAAAAAAGATTTTTCGGTGTTTTTTTTGGAGGTTTTGACGAAAATCGAAAATCGTTGCTAATTTATGAAAAACTTTCCCTAGTTTATAAAAGCATTACACATTATTTCCGATTATGATTGTTCCATCTTGATGATTTTCGCATGCGTGCCAGCAGAGACAAGTTATCCGTTTGTCTCTGCGTGCCAGCGAAACGCCAAGAACAAGTTTCTGTCCACCACGGCCTAATCATGCGAAGATCAGCTAAATGCAAATATTTCCTAGTGGAACATTTCGATGTGATAGTTGCAATCGTTTTCACAATGCTTTTTATTTGTGCATATGTAAAACAGAAACATTTAACTTGGAGTAGCATGTTTATTTGCAGAAACGTCAAAAAAAGTGTCACCAGTACTCATACATCATACTTGGAATGGAGATTCTTGAAGTAAAAGCTCGTTCACACGGTCAACAATGTCATTTTCTGAATAGTTAAATGTCACGGTGTCGTGACGTTAGTGTCACATATCAAAATTGTTCGATATATGTCAGCGTGACACTGGCGGCTATCACGGAATTAGGTGTTACGACGGTATCTCTATTTATCAATCAAAATACGTTTCAGTGTATTTTTCCCCATCATCAGTTTTTAAGTGTAGCGTTGTTGCTGCTTTAAGCCTTGGCATGCATTTTCTGCAAAAAATTGATAGAGACAATAAATGACTGAAACCCAGAAATAAATTTGATTTGGAATTAATCTCACCGTGTAAAGGAGTGAAAGTTTATGAATGAGTTAAGTGAAATACAAAGTAACATTAAAAAGACAAAAGCAATAAAATAAAGGTGTGGGTACATATTGCTGATCTGGCTCGAAGGACCGAAAAATGTTGGGGAAATTTGTGATACTCGAAGGACCAAAGCGAGTGATGTAGTGTATGGTGGATGAAGTTGGGAGCAGCTGCAGGATAAGTCAGATTTTGCGACGTTGTATTTGTCCAACTAGCACTAGTTGAGACTGTTTAATCAAAATAGTCACTCAACTATTGAACTGGGCAGTATGAACGTACACTGATAGATATTCAGAGAAAGTCTTTAGTAAAGTTGAAGGCAAACTGTCCGATAGAGTCCTTTGGGAGATTTAGAGGGTATATTTCCCGAGAGAGAGAACCTTTAAAAAATGTGGCGGTAACAAGTCCGAGAGAGTACATAATGCGACTGCATATATAAGCATATATAAAACGAACAGAATAAGCGAAAGTTTATAACAGATTATTCGGAAATCTCGTCACCTCCATTCCTCTGAAGACTGTAGAATTTGTTAAAAAATGTGGTTTTTTAGTTTTCAGTKATTTCTTTTGCTTTACTTTCTACTCAAAAACGCTCTATTTTGTAGAGTTTCACTTAAGWATACTGACGATYTGGASGACTTTTACASGAAAAATTACAAGATAAATTTATAGCTTTGTAAAAAATTTASAWAAACTTTTTTCAGTGTCGAATTCGGGACAGAAACGAAAATAAATCCCTACCGTTTTTTCCSGAAAACCATTAAGATTTTCTACAAAATCGATCACAAAACTAAAAGTTTTTAATCGAAAACKCAAAAAAGCATTATTTTCTGATRATTTTCTTCTTTTTWGRTAATAATTTTTTTTCAGATAAAAATGACAAAATTGATTTTGCTAGAAAACTCGCCCCATTCATCGGGATTCAGGGAACTTTAGAAAATAAAAGAAATAATAGGGCTATCTTAAAAAAACGACCAGAGTGCAAAAGTTTACAAAAAATTATTGAAAAAATTCGCCGCTCTCATCGCTCTGAAGCTTTATAAAGTTCTTTTAAATTTTCAGGTCATTCCAGTTTTAACAAAGTTTCTATTAAATTTCTAGGCAAAAATCGCGTTATTTTTTAGTTTTACTTACAATACTAGAAATCTTCAGGTATTTCCTGTGAAAAATGATAAGATAAATTTTATTGGAACACTCGCCTCCTTAACCGTTTTACAAAAATGTTTGGAAAACTTTTTGCAGCATCGAATTATGGACAAAACCCTAATAATAACTTTTCCAAAAATATTTCCCCGAACTGAAAACGCGAAAGTTTCTAATCATTTATTTGGAAAACTATTGGAAACTGGAGTTTCTTCACTTTTAGGTCAAAATTTCTAAACAACACTGTCTCTAAACAGAAAAACCGCGTTTTTCCTAACGTTTTACTGTAAAATACTGGCAAACTGAATCTTTTATGCAAAAAATGAAGAGATCGATTTTACAAGAAAACTCTTCGACATTTTTGGACTCAGTTCTGTTGCTGGGAAAATCTAGATTACTTTTTTTTAGTCGTTTTACCAAAGTAGTAACGTTTTGCCCTTCAAGAAAAATATTCATCCGTCGGGTACAAACCGACATTCAAACGAAAGAATATAACCATGAACTGCTGAATTTATTCAGAATGTCTCCTAAACTCACTCTCTCACTCAGTCGAATCTTACATGAAATGATTGAAGAACGATCAATTGGACGAGGCGGATCAGCATCTAGGCCTCGACCACCTCATCTAACCAATCGGGAGTTTTAACTTCAAAAACTCAGGATTTTCGAAAAATATACTCCAGTTGGGCTTAAACATCCAATTTGAGTTAAAACCCAGGAAAAATTTCAACACCATGAGCCTCAAATGTCTCGATAAATCAGTTGAAATCGCTACACGAAGTTTTGTTGGTTCCGATTTGTGCTGCCGCGCCGGTTAAAATTCTAATTTTATTTAAAATTTCTCCCAAACAGATCATTCATGCCCATAAAAGGGCCCCGCCTTATTTCAGCCCAATTTACATAAAACGAGTACATACAGATCAATTGGAAGAGGTGGAGCAAAAATAGACCACCTCGATCACCTGACCTAAACAATCGGGACTTTAAACCAGTGAGCAGAAGCAAAAGGAGGAGTCGCTTTTAACCCACTGAAACCTGTTCCTGAATGTTTTCCAGTTAGAACTTACAGTGCCACGACTGTTCAAAGCTGATTTATGACGAGGGTCAATCGCCCAATAAATGAACACTACCCAGTGAATGAACACCGCTCAACACTAAAATGAAAAATAAGAATATATTATTTGGGAGAGTACAGTTATCTCTTTCTAAAATTTCATGCACATGTCCCCTAAACAGTTCATTCATTACTCATTGGCTTATTTAAAAACCGTTTCTTTTGTTTGATACAAGTGGAAGACAGCACTGCCGACAGCGGACGTAAAAGATGCCATTCTTATTTAGCATTTGGTGAAAAGCCTGGCTGTTGAAAGTATTTTATCTTAAAAAGTGTTGACATCAGTTGTATAAACTTGACGTTTTATGCATGTAAAGATATGCATTTAAACATTCTTAATACTTTTTCCTTCAAATCTCCATATTTTGCATAAAGTCTAAGGTGTTTATCGACTGGCTAATGTTTTCATCATCAACCCAATGAACGAACATGGGGTTCATTCACTGGATTTTTTGCCTAAATTTAAAAATATGCAAAATCAACCTTAAAAGTATCTTATAGTAGTACAAGTTTGCTATATTCGAGATATTCTGATGTGGTTTCACCGTTCACTCACTGGAGTTTATTCACTGGAACGCAATTAATTTCTAGATGAGTTCGAACTACGCACGCTTTAAATACACAGAAAAGTATTTATCCACTGCGTAAAGTTTAATTAATGCTGGACAAATAAGTTTAAATAACGCACATTTACAATATGGAATCCCAAAGTCAACTTTACCCAATAAATTAAAGAAAAAGTTCCCTATCGAGCGAAAAATGGACCCTCCGACCACATTAACTACCGGAGAAAAACAAAAACTTGCTAACTGGCTTCTGGCCAAAGCCAAACTAGGTTTTCCCACGCATCCGGAAGAAGCTAAATCCGCGGTTCAAAAAGTATGAAAGGCCTCTCCTAGAGAAAATAAATTTGTAGATGATAAGCCGGTGGAGAAGTGGCTACAATTGTTTCTCCGAAGACACACCGAAATTGCTAAACGAAATACAGAAATAATTTCAAAAAGTACAGCTTCAGTAACCGAAGTGGCAATTCGGAAATGATTTGAAGACCTACGAGAGTTTTTAAAAACCGAGAATTTGTTGGAAATTATTAATGATTCTTCACGCATATCCAACGCCGATGAGACAGGGGTTAGAACATCAACCCAATCGGGACTAGTTCTGCCGCCTGCAAGAAAAAACTTTCGAAGTCTCTATGAAATTGCACCAGGGAATGAAAAATAATCAATTACTATTCTTTGCAATTATGCAGCAAGTGGAACGGTAGTTCCTCCGATGTTCGTTTTCCCTTATAAACGAATACCCAAGGAACTAGCTCTTTGTGTACCAGAAAGATGGTCAATTGGACGAGCTGACTCTGGTTGGATGTCCAGTCCAATATTTTTTGAATATATCGCCGTCTTTTATCCTTGGCTTATTAAAGAGGGCACTAAAGTTCCAGTAATTCTGTTCACTGATAGACATAAATCTCATTATAACTTAAAGCTACTTGAATTTTGCAATCTTGCAACAAAGTAGAAAGAGGAAACACCTGTGAAAGAACAGGAGAAAATGAAAAAGGAAAGTCGAAAATCAATATCAGGAATTCCAATGGTTTCAAAAGACGAACCACTTCCGAATGTTGAAGCAGAAATGGGTACATCAACACCAAATAGAATACCTGTGTAAAAAATACTTCTTAGAAAAAGATATCCACTAATTTTTAGGTTTTACGCTTGGAGATTACGTTCTGGTTCTTTACGGTAACAAAAAATATCTAGGAGTAATAAAAGATATGGATAGAGAGAACGAAGAATACGAATTTAGTGTCATGCAGAGAAAAAGTGGAAACAATTGAATATGGCCTAAGACAAATGATCAAATTTGGTATAAGAAGAAACAAGTTTTATAGAAAATACTCTAGCCAAAATACGATACAAATTCGGCGGTTTATAAACTGGTTGAATAGTAGGTGCTTATGTAAGGACCAGCACCTATAACTAGTTTACACTGAAAATATAATACTGTTCATTAACTGGAATTTGTCTGTTCTTTTATTAGCATTACCTGTTCATTCACTAGGTTTTTGGACACCTTCTGAACTAAACGCGGAAATAACAAAATCCGTTTTTAGTAGGTTGTTATTTCATAGTTCTTAACTAAGTTAAATAACCAAATAAAGATTTACTGCAGTTTTAACCCTTGTGCTCTTATTGTTCCAGTGTGATAAAAGTGTGAATCTAAAACTTGTCTTATTTGTTAATTCACTGGGCAATTGACCCTATAAGAATTCATAGTGCGTGACCTGTAGAAAAATTAATAAATAGTCTGTAATCGGAGGAAACTGCTGAAATTACAATGATAAAGGAAAGTAGAACAAAAAGTTCGTTTTATGCGATTTAAATAAGACAGACAATTCACAAAAGAAAGCTGACAAAATTTAATGACAAACGGAGAGGAACTAGAAAACAGGAATGAATAAAAAAGATAAATTTGCATTAAAAGTTATTGATATTTAATGAAACGAAAACATTTTACGGGTTTTAAATGGCCACCATGCAAATTTTTAAGATGTTACAGGAGATTGATGAGAACTTGAAACTCCTTTTGCTCGACGGAGCAGGCCACCTCTGAAAATACAAGCCCCTTGTGCTTGCGAAACGTCGGGAATAAATTATTTTTCACACTGGCCGAAACGCCTGGAAAACTCGGCAGTTTCAGACACTTTTTTTTGAACGAATGCAACCGAATATACAGAGCGTCCTATTTGAAAATAGACATACACAAATGAACTAATTTGAATTGCACTTCTTGCTTTTGCTTTAATTATTTTTGGCACATCTGTTGCGCCAACCGTAACCGCAACCTTGACAACAAATGCCTCTTGTACTGGCGCGTACCTTCTTAATCGCGAATTCAGCAGGACCTACCGGTTTTCGGTTGGCCCAGGCCATGTACTTTGCTCCACATTTCGCATATAAAAGACCAATTCACAAGCAAAGCAAATCAATGCAGTTTCAGTTACGAACCGAGATGGCTTTTAGAGTAAGTTGATCCAGACTACGCCCTTATTGGCGCCAACTGATTTAAAATTTCATTTTTAATATAGTTTGTTGCTTTGGTTGCCTGTTTGTCTTGCGTGTCGGCCGGCATTTTGCAGGCTGCGCCACTTGCTATCGCCCCCAAAGCAGTTGAAGACTACGACCCCAACCCCCAGTACAGCTACGGATATGATATCCAGGATAGTTTGACTGGGGACAGCAAGAGCCAGAGTGAGACTAGAAATGGGGATGTCGTGCAGGGCAGCTACTCCCTAGTGGACCCTGATGGTAATTGAAGCTTGTGAGCCCTCAAGGGTGAAACTGATAAGGGAATTGCAGGTCTGAGGAGGACCGTGGACTACACTGCGGATCCAGTCAACGGTTTCAACGCAGTGGTGCGCAGAGAGCCATTGGCAGTCAAAGTGGCCCATGCCCCCGCCCCTGTCGCTTACGCTGCCGCCCCTCAGATAGCCCGCGTTTCATACGCAGCCGCCCCATCAGTCGCATACCCCACCCCTATTGGCTACTCAGCAGCGCCAGCTGTCGCTAAGATAGCTTACTCTTCCCCAGCCGTTTCTTACCACATTTAAGTAGTCCATGTTGATATTTATTAAATTTTAGCCAAATAATCTACGGGTCGTTTCACTGAGCGGTAACTAGTTGCCTTACCTGGTTAGCGCTGTAATTTTTTGACATACTCAGTAATCCTGTTAGGGCTCTCAGTGCAGGCGCTGATGTGCGATAAAACCTCATGTTTGCCTTAGGCCATTGTATGGGGTTGAGCCCTGCAGAAGCAGAAAATTGACGTTTTAGTGCTACTCAATGCAGAAGGACTAAGAAGTGCTTTTAAGTGAGGTAATGAACAGTTTTTACCGAAG